TCAGCTGCCCGCGTGCTGGGGTCGTAGGTGCGCCCCACCACATCCGCTGTTGCTTTTAGCGGTCCTTCGTGCATCCTAAACTGTCTGCTCTGGGGGAGTGACTGTTTGTCCTCCTTGAAGCTTAGACAAGTGCTGTGCTGAGCTTGGGGTCTGTGGGTCACTGTGACTTCATCTTTGTGTGCAGTGCGAATAGCTAGGGTCTTCTCCCGGTGCTGTCGGCTGAAAAGGTGCCCTTCTCCTCGGCCTCTGTGCCGCCTGTCAGCTGAGCCAACGTGGACTCCATGGTCATCTGCGTTGTCCGCCAGCCTCTCCTCACACCAGCGCCACACTGCACTGATTATGTAACTCAGCAGAGTCTAGAATCCGAAAGCAGGGCATGGTGAACATGCCTGTAATCCCAGTACGGGGGAGGCTGAGGCAGGAGGATCATTGTGAGTCCGAGACCAGCCTGGGCGAGAAAGTGAGCTCAAGGCCAGTCTGAACTACATAGCGAGACTCTGTCTCAAACAGACAAAAAAAAAAAAAAAGTCTAGACTCTAAGCTGCAGGTGCATCCTCTTACTCTTCCTTGGGACCCCGTCAAAAACAAATGAACAAAACATACATCAGGAAGAGAGAAACTTGCATAAATATTTTAATACCAAATTTATTGAGACATCATGAGATTATACAAGCCAGCTGTGGCCTCTACAATCGCAAGAGCGGCTCCAAATGGTGGCCATGACCACCAGACACCGACTAATGGGGCAAATTGCTGAAGCGCAGCACGTGTCTCGTGGGCAGGACAGCTTTGTACCCGTTAAGTGGTTACTACGCCCAGAGATGCTGCACTAAGCTGACCCTCGACCTTGGAAGAGACCCTTGACTTGTGGAAGGGCAAGAGGAGGAAGAGATGGATGCGTTGTCTGGGGGGCACGTGGCGCCTTGGGGTGTCTTGTGTATTTCTAGTGGTTCAGTTCGGCTGGGAGCTCACCTGGTATTTCTTGTACCTGGAATTTTGGTTAAAGGTGAACCTTCTGCGTGCTCGCGTTGTCTACTAACATCACACTGCTGGGGCGCAGCGCGCCTTCGCAAGGAGCCTCCCAACAGACCTGTCTCTCAGGCACCCTTGTGGCTTCTGGCCCTTGGGTCCCTCTCCCCTGGGCCTGGCTGTCCTTGGGTCTGCACCACCCTGGGGTGCTCCAGTAGCAGCCTTGTGGGAGGCCATTAGGGTTTGGGACTGAGGCCTTGAGGGGCCGCAAGGGCCCTGCCCCTCCTTCCCCGAGTCTGGGGAGCACAGCTCCGGCCCTCTGTGGTGCCATCTCACCCCCAGGCCCCTCTCACCGACCCACACCTGAAACAGGAAGCAGAGGCACCCCCTCTCTTGCTGATGAGCTCGTCGAGGTACAGTAAGGGCGAGCGGGCTGCCAGGCTTTCCTGGCAAATCACGGTGTAAGACAGGCTTGAACAGGAGCAGCCTCATCTCAGACCTCTCTAGACGGGCGTGTGTGCGCGTGCGAGTGCACAGGTGTGTGTGCATCTTTGTCCCCATCCCACATCACGCCCGGTTTATGATCATCATTCGCCCGCTCTGGGGTGCTTGGTAGTGGCCCACAGTGGAGCCGACGGGAAAGGTACGGAAGGAAGGCAAGCTGTGACCTCAGCGCACAACGCAAATGCCGCTGCTGCGCCAGCTGCGTGGGAACCTGGCTTAGGGGACTTGAGCTACCGAGGCCAAGACCCGTCCCTAATCCCAAGCTTTTGCTTAAGGGTGAGGAATAGGGGTAAATCTACTCAGCAGCCCATGACGAGAGTCAGAAGGTCATTTAATTAAAAATAAGATCGGCCTAAATGTAATATATTTTCTGGTAGATTAACTCATTCAAGAGGTGGGAAAACAGAACAGAAAAAAATTTGTTTTTTGAGACAGTCTCGCTGGGTAGCCCAAACGGGCTTTGAACTCATGGTGATTCTCCTGCCTCAGCCTCCTGAGTGCCGGGATTGTAGGCGTGTGCCGCCATGCCTAGCTCAATGAAACAGTCACTCACCCCGGTCGCCCGCCCAGGGCCGGGTGTTGCAGGCCTGGGCAGACAACTGGCAGGGCTTTCCCCAACCACAGACGACCCGGTCCTTTAACGCAGCAGTGTTGCCGTGAGAACACTGCTCGCCATGAACTGGAGCTCTTCACTGCAGCGCCGCCTCAGCACAGCCGGGATGGGAGGCTGCGCAGGGTGCGTGAGGGTGGCCGAGTGCACAGCAGGTGGCCCTGCGACTCCACAGCGGAGCGGCTCTCGCCGGGCCAGATGAGGCTGCGGGAGAACAGTGCTCTGGCGGAGGGCCCGGAGGCGCTCTGCACACGCAGGACAGCAGCAGCACCTGGGCCGTGATCCCACAGAGGCGACTGCTGTTTTTGTGTGTCGCAGTAAGACACCATGCCCTGAGTTCCCTTCAGGGTCCTCCCTACCATGTCCAACACACTCACCATCCTTCTTGCTGGTTTTTCAAGCAGGCCTGGCGCCCTCTTCCCTGGGTGTCATTAGGAAAGTGGCAAGCATAATGAGATACCCTGGAACCGGGCATGGTGGCCCTCACCTTTAATCCCAGTACTTGGGAGGCTGAGACAGGAGGATCGCTACAAGTTCCAGATCAGCCTGGCAAAAGTGAATACAAGGCTAGCCTGAACTGTATAGCAAGACCCTGTCTAAAAAAAAAAAAAAGAATACTAGGATAAGTGCATTGAAGTGAGGAGGGAGATTTTGAGGGGAATTGACAACATGTTTTACATTGTAATAATTTTTTTTTGAGACAGGGTCTCACTATGTAGCCCAGGCTGGCCTCAAACTCATGGAGATCCTCCTGCCTCAGCCTCTTGAGGATTGAGATTGTAGGTGTGTCCCACCATACCCAGTTCTGTAATAAATTTTTTAAATTAAAAATTCTTTGTATTTTTCTATCACACCATGTATTATCTGTCTGTCAGGGTTCTTAATCTTTTTTGTGGGGGGCAGGTAGGTAAAGCATGCAGACCCCTTTTAGAGTCACACAGCTTTTGTTGGTTTCCTTGTTTTCATCAGGTCAGAGTGGACCAAACAGTGTGCCACCATAACCGCCTTAAGGGGTACATACAGTGATGCGGAATACATTCCTGAGTCATGCCACCACTGTCACCGTCCTCTTCAGGACTTCGTCTTACATGTCTGGAATCCCATGCCTGTCACATAGCAAGGCTCCCTTTCTGGTCCCCCAGGCCCTGGCACCTGTTTCCCTTCATGATTTGGCTCCTTCTGAGCAGTAGAGGTGGAACAATGCAGCGTTCGTCCTTTTGCTCTGTGTCCTCAGTGTCCATCCCTGTTGTAGCGCGTGTCCCTGTTTGTGGAATTTTAAAGATTAAATCTGCGGGGCACAGTGGTGCACCCCTGTGAACCTAGCACTCAGGAGGCTGAGGCAGGAGGATCCTCATGAGTTCAAGGTCAGCCTGGGCTACAAAGTGAGACGCTGTCTCAAAAACCCTAAGAAAGAGGTTGACTCATACCCTGCTGTAGGTGCGCACCGCATTTGTCTGTCATGCAGTTGTGGATGAGCTCCCCAGGGTGGCTTCCATAACGGAGCTTCGCAGCTGGTGCTGCCCAGGGCGCTTGGGTGCGCAGGAAGCGCGTGGGAGCCACTTTCAGTCAGTGGGGGGACATGCCCAGCACACAACTGCTGGACACTGCTAGTTCCACAGGAGTGAAATAAAGCAGTTCAGGGAGCTGCACAGGCGCAGGAGAGCATTGGGGTGCCTGGGGAGCTGTGGGGATCCTGGGGTGGCCAGGAGGGCAGAGCAGGTGCGGCCGCACCAGGTGCCATCCTCCCCTTCCCTTGTGCTGCTTGCCCTCTTCCGCCCACGCTCCATCCTGCAGCGGGTGGCCGGGCACTCAGGGCCCCGGCGCGGCAGCCTGCAGACGTGTGAGCGGGCTCGGCCTGTGCTGCGCTCGGGGGGAGGTCGGCCCAGGATGGCTGGGCTTCAGCTGACCCTGCTTAGGCAGACAGGGTTATGGCAAATGGGGTGGCCTTCTGTGCGTGGGAGTTGAGAACCAGTATGTCCTGGCCGGGCGGATGGCAGCTGTTTAGAATTATAGCAGTCCCTTGCTCTTTCGCTGCTCGACTTTCACGGACTCACTGTTTCGTGGGTTTTAAAAAAGTATACTAATCTAAGTTATTTACTTTTTTATTTTATTTTATTTTATTTATTTATTTTTTGCTGAACTGGGGACTGAACTCAGGCCCTTGTGCTTGCCAGGGAAGTGCTTATTCCACTGAGCCATCTCCCCAGCCCTTAATCTAAATTATTTATTACAGATTTTTTGTTATGTCTCAGGATTCTGAAGTGCCATACAGTATATGTATTTTGTTAGAATTATGTAGGTCTATGAGTTTAGAAAGTGGTTAAGGGGCTGGGGAGATAGCTCAGTAGAATAAGCGCTTGCCTGGCAGGTGCAAGGGCCTGAGTTCAATCCCCAGTTCTGCCAAAAAAAAAAAAAAGGAAGGAAGAAAATGGTTAAAAACATTAGAATTGTTTTTAAAAGTGTGGGAAAGGTTTATAAAAGTGTGGGAAGGGTTTACAAAGTCTTAAAATACACATAAATACTACAGTCAATATAATGTTGCTACTCTGCTGATTTTCCCTTATCCTGGGAGTGTCTGGAGGGGAACCTCGGCGGTAGGTGCAGGATCGCTCCTTCATTGTGCTTCGCTAATCCTTGGAGGGCTTTGCAAGGCCTCTCTGCTGCGTGTGCTGGCCCAGGTTTGTAACCCCAGCTACTCAGGAGGCTGAGGCAAGAGAGCTGCAAGTTCAAGGCCAGCCTGGACAACCAGTGAGACCCTGTGTCAAAAATAGGGGCAGGTTTGCCGCTTAGCATGGAAGCCTTGTGTTCAATCCCAGTACTGGGGGGCTAAGGAAAAAGCACCTCTGCTGTATTTGTGTAGGGCCTTTAGGGTTTTCTGCTGTCTGTTCTGGGTACTCATTTGGGAGGTGTTTTCTAGGAAATCTCCGAAGAGTCACCTCAAAAGAATACCTTCGTTAGACCCTGAAGAAGACAAAGTCAAGTGCAGCGTTCGCGAAGGCCGGGGTAAGTCACCTTCGCTTGCCGAGCCTGGTGTCGCAGCTGGTGTTTAATAAGTAACCGGGGAGACTGATAGCGTGGAGGCAAGGCCGCGGTGCTGGACAGTAATCTTCCTCTGTGCTCGCCCGACATATTGCCGTACATACCTTCCAGATCCAATCAAAGCAAAATGTCAGTGACGGGAGAAATGCAGATCAGAAGGTTCTTGGGCTGAGTATCAAGAATTTTAAGTCTGAAGACGTGGATCTATAGGTTGAACTTTAACTATCGGAATCTAAACCGGCGTCTCAGCGTTCCACCCATCTGTCTCCCCGCAGAGAAATCGCGGGTGTGGGTTCGGGCTTTGTACAAAGTGTGCAGGCCCCAGAAGCCCTTTCCTGGTCTGGTTTCCTGCTGTCCAACCCCGTTTCTTATGTAGTTTCTTCAGGATCCAGGCGGATATGGCCAAGATCTGTCTAGTGAGCCCGAGGCCGGCGCCCCGGCCTCTCCTCCCTCCCCGTTCTGCGCAAGAACTGCAGCCTCACCCTGTTGGAAGTCAGGGTCCCCATCCATGTCTTAGATGCTGGAGCTTTCAGCACTGGCTGCAGTGCTTAATGATTTTCGATTTTTTTGTTTTTTGCTTTTTTGCGGTACCGGGGATTGAGCTCCAGACCTTGTGCTTGCCAGGCAGGCGCTTATGCCGCTGAACTATCTCCCCAGCCCGAAATTTTCATTCTGTTCCCTTCCTCCAGAAGCCCCTCGAGCGAGGTAGGCACTGACATGGGTAGGACCTGCTCCCCTAAACAAGAGGAGGCTTGTGATCCTCTGTCAGCATTTAATGCCAAGGGGGAGGCTGTGCCTTCAGTTCTTTAAGCACCCATCTTTGTTTCAGTGAAACGTTTGGGGATGACACTAAGAAGAAGAGGATTATGAGAGGACACAGGCCGCGGGGCAGCCGGAGAAGGCCCAGGGTAGGACAGCGCCGCCAGAGCCGCGCTCCACTTCGACGCCACGAGCCCTCAGAGCGGCCCCAGTCGAGAGAGCAGTGCTGTCGCCAGGGCTGTCACCAGGGCTGCAGGCTGCGCTTGCTGCTCTGTGGACGCAGGCAGGGAGGGGGTCGCTGCCCTGGCTCGCCTGTCCTGGGCCAGCCGGACTCACACAAACAGGAGTGTGCTGGAAGATCAAGTTTTATATGGATTTTTTTATATGAAAGAATAAAACACTTCCATTTTAACTTGTAATTTAATTTTTTACCTAATTAAATGTCTCTGTGTCCCTTCTAAGAGAACTGATCAGTTGCAGTCAATAAAAAATATTTTTAATAGTAAACAAAGGTACTCTTCTTTGGGTCTCTCTTATTGCACAAAATAAACTAAGGAAGTTAGCACTTTAAATGAGACCTGGTGAGCACTCTCCTCAGGAACGGGAATATTTTTTTAAGCATTTCAGATATCAAAGTTCTATTGTGCTGGACAAATGCCCCTTTGTTGGCGGCCTCAGGGTTTCCTCAGAGATGATTTTCCCAGGAGTGGAAGGGCCTCCCCGGTTGGGCTTCTTAATTAGGGTGCTGAAAAGAGAAGTGGGGTGGGGTTTGGCCACGTCCTTGTCCTTCTGCACACTTGCTGTCTCCTCTGCCAGTGGCACAGAGCGAGGTGTGGAGAGGTGCAGTGGGTCCTGACACCGCCATGTGGGTGCGCAGGAGCCGCAATGTCCCGGGAGGCGACCTCACAGGGGAAGGGAAGCCGGGTCGGTGCAGGCTCTGCCCCTGCTCTTGGCGTGCCTGCCGCGGAGCCCCTTGCCCAGGGCCAAGCCCCTCTGCTGAAGGCCAGGCAGCAAAACTTGAGGAACTGTAGGATTTGAAGAGAATTAAAAATTACCGTATGGCAAAAGTATTTTTAGCTCATAGGATTGTAGTATTGGCTGCACCTATCCTAGGGGTGTGTGTATGTTGAAAAAAGTTGCAAGAAAAGTAATTTTATTTTTTATTTTCTCTCTTAATTTCCTACAACTGTTTTTCTTTTTCCAATTTTGCATAAATGTATCTGGTAATCTAAACAAGTAATTTGAAGACAGCGCTATGCAGTACAACAAATACTGTCAGATTCATATTATTTTGTTCAATGAAACTCTGTCTCATTTCTAATTTTTTTCATTATTTTGTATTCTCTTTAAAAACAAGAAAAAAGAAGACAAAGAAAAATAAATTTTAGGTTTTACATTTAGGATTGTATGGGGTGGGTGTTGAAGACAGGGTCTCAGTGTTTGTTTCTTTGTACCGGGAACCAAACTTAGGACCTTGTACTTGCCAGGCAGGCACTGTGCCACCGAGCTCGATCACCAGCTCTGGGTCTTAGTACTTACTTTGGGCTGGTCTTGAACTCACTATGTAGCCCAGGCTGGCCTCAAACTCATAGCAATCCTCCTGCCTCCTCCTCCCACATGCTGGGTTACAGACATGCACGCTCACACCTCTTTTTTTTTTTTTTCTGGTTTTTGGAGGAGCTTAGGGTCTTGCTATGTAGTTTAGGTTGGCCTTGGGCTCACTGTGGAGGCTACGCTGCCCTTAGACGTATAGTACTTCTCCTGCATCAGCCTTCCAAGCCCTGTATAACAGGCATGCACCATTTTTCCTGGCCATCACCATCATTCTGAAGATCAACAGCGTATGATCTTAAGAAGTGGCTGAATTATGCTATAATTTGCCTGCCAGAAATGATCTCAGCATTGGAAAAGACTGATAGGATGGTATTTTTAGAATTTATGAACAGATCTTTTAAACAGAAGCAGAAATATCACGAAAGAAATTGATTTAACCAGGATGCTAGTCCATGGCCTGTAATCCCAGTGCTCGAGAGGCTGAGGCTCGAGAGGCTGAGGCAGGGGGATCGCCACAAGTTAAGACCAGTCTGGGCTACATAGTGAGACGAGAGAGAGAGAGAGAGAGAGAGAGAGAGAGAGAGAGATTGATTCAAAATAATACACAAACACTAAAAAGTTTTACCCCACACAGTTGTCCATAGAATGCTTAGAATGGAGAGCTGCTGCCGAGGGGTGGCTGGCTCTGTGGATTCAGAAGGGAGCTGAGGGTGGAACCCTTGTCCTGTTCTGGTGAAACAATCAGGGTTTTCCTGAGGTCCTGCCTTGGGTCCTCCTGTGGTTTACCCCAAGCTCAGGTCACCATAGGAGGTGGTGGCTTAGCAGGTATGCAGCTCTTGTTCCCTTCGCCTCTTGAGGCCGATCCTTTAGGGCACCGCAGGGCATCTCCCACAAGGCTCAGCACCCCGTGTCTGCAGGAGCGGTACCTCAGCAGCGTTCTCTGTGCCAGATGCCACTGAGAAACCAGACACATCCATCAGCACCGCCATAGACAGAGCAGGTTAAGCCCTGGACCGTCTGGAGCAGATCTGTGGGTCTGTGGATGGAGGGCACATCGATCAGTGCCACGGAAAGCAACCTCGGGGTCGTCAGCCAGGCGTGCGCTCAGTTTGTCCAGCAAGGGACAGAAAAAGCATCCAGTGTACACAACAGCCCTGCTGGCCACCTGAGACCCCGGGAGCAAAGCAGTCAATCCTCCTTCCAGCCCAGTGAGGGAGACAGATCTTAAACAAGGTCAGGGAAGGAGCAGTGTGTGCTAGGGAGGGAGGCTGAGACACTGTGACAGCAGACACAGGGCAGGGCAGGGTGTTCAGGGAGGTATCGGTCAGAAGAGACATCTGAAGCAATAGCTGAGTTCACTAGGCAGGCAAACAGGAAGTGAATTCCAGACGATCGTAACAGCATGTGCAAAAGCCCTGGGACAGGAAGGAGCCTGACGCACTCACAGATCTGACGGGCCAGGATGGAGCAACACGAAGGTGGGGAGAGGCGGGGCCGGTCATGCACGCGTGGCAGGGTAGGGACTGTAGCATACAACCTTTCATAACCCCAGTGCTGCCAACTATCTTCTCAGTTTTGCCTAGAACAGGGTCCAGTTTGCATCCCTAGTGGGTGGTGTTGGCAATATCATAAGGAGAAGATTGAACAGTCCTCAGGACACCCAAATGGGACCTGGGACCTGGGCGTGGTAGCATACCCTCATAATCCCAGGACTTGGGAGGCTGAGGCAGGGATCAGCACGAGTGAGGCGAGCCTGGGCTCCACGGTGGGCACCCTGATTCTAGTGATGTGGAGAATCTCAGGCAATGAGAGACAGCCAGTGGTGCAGCAGACCTTCTACCCAAAGACGTTTGGAAGATGAATCCTGACAATGAGAAGGGGGCAGTTTGCACCCTTGTGTCCCCAGCCATGGCCTTGCATAGAGTAAGACAAGTGTCAAGCGCACCAGCTGGTGGAGTGGGGCTCCACCCTCCGCCTTGCTGCAGGGCTCCCGGGCCCCGTGCAGGACGCGTCCCTGCCTTCATCTCCAAGCAGCCGCGCCAGCATCCTGGCTGGAGAACAGGCACAGCCGAAGCTGTTAGCCAAACCTTTGAGAGGATGGAGCCAGACACTGTGGCCAAAATGCTGAGCACAGAGCTGAAAAACACAAGGTCTGTGGCTGCTAAGGTAAGTCACTGTAGCAGATGTGTCCGCCTCGCGTCCGCATGTGAGTTCCTTATAGGAAAGGAGTCTGAAACATAGCTAGACCACCACTGTGGTCTGTAGCTGACCGTGTCTGACTAAATTGCTGAGGATCAGAGACAAGATAATTCTCTAAAGGGTTTAGCTAGGACCTGGCAACTAAGCACCCAATAAACATCACCAATTGTTATTCTGCTGTTAGTTACTCTGGTAAATAAGCTTTCCAGGGATTGGAATTAGAGAAAGTGATTAATCTCTCTTTAGTGGAGAGGACAGCTGTGTCCCATACAACTTTCAGTGTCCATGGTCAGCTCCTGAACAGGACAGTGAGGGGTCAGAGAGCAGAAAGACAGGGCTCAGGCCTGAAGAGCACTTCAGTCTCACAGGACGAAAACAGCAGGCTTCCTAAGGCAGCATCTCCCCTCCAACAGGTAGATGAGCCTGGTGACGCTTTGCCTCCAAAATTAAGGGGTCAATAATCCCAGCACTTGGGAGGCTGAGGTAGTGGGGCTGCCAGCCTTGCCTACATAGTGCTTTCAAGGCCAGCCTGCACTACAAAGAAGACCCTGTCAAAAAAAAAAAAAAAAAGGCAAAACGTATATGTTGCAATTTCTCAAGATGAATGTAGCAATTATGTATCACAGACATATACTAATACATTTTGTTTTGTCTTTGGAGACAGTCTTGCCATGTAGTTCAGGGTGGTCCCAAACTCACTATATAGCTGGCCTTGAACTCAAAGTAATCCTCCTGCTTCATCCTCTCCAGGGCTGGGATTACAGGCAAGCACCACTATGCTAGGCCTAAAAATTTTTTAAATAGAAAAATTCCAAAAACATAGGGAATCTTTAGTATATTTGTGGGGCAACTTCATATCTACACTCTGGCACAAAAGCTAAGAACCGCAGAGACAGCACATTTTTATTTTTTATCGCGATACAGGGTCTCACTAAATTGCCCGGGCTTGGCTCTAATTTGCAGTTTCTGCCTCCACCTCTCAGAGGGTGTTGGGATTACACACATGCGCAACCGTGTCCCGAACTTCGGGTTATTTTTCTTTTCAGTCTTATGACCCTCATTTAAAAGCACGCTTTTAGGCCACTCCTGGCATCTGTCTCCTCTTGCTTGGGCGGCCCGCTGGGCTCTGCCCTCCGCCTCGAGGGTGACAGCTGCGCGGGGCCGAGCAGTGCCCAGGAGGGGAAGCTCAGACGCGTGACACGTGAAATAAGACCTAAGCTTGGAAGACGCCGGCCTGGCTGCGCGGGGATCGACCAGGCTCACGGGAGCCCGAGTTGCCCAATTTGTCCCCGAGCGGTTTCAGTGGGGTTAGGGTTAGGGGCAGCTTTCTCTTCGGTTTCTCAGGGGGCTGGCGGGGTGGCGGGGCTGGCGGCCTTTTGTCTCCGCCTTCGGTCCTGGGGGGGGGGGGGGCGTACCTGGCGGCCCGGAGCGGACCCGGCGAGGAGAGGGCGGGCGTCGAACCGGGGGCGTGGCCCGGGGCGTGGCCAGGAGGCGTGGTCAGGAGGCGTGGCCAGCGCGCCCCGCCCCCGCGCGGCGTCGCGGTGCCTAGGCGCCGGCGAGCGGTCGCTCAGTCGAGCGGAGGGGCTGGGCCGGGGCGTGTGCTGCGGCGGGATGAACAGCATCAAGAGCGTGCCGGCGCGGGTGCTGAGCCGCAGGCCCGGCCACAGCCTGGAGGCCGAGCGCGAGCAGTTCGACAAGAACCAGGCGAGCGAGAGCGGGCGGCGGTGGGCGGCGGGCCAGGGCCTGGCTGCCCGCGGGCGCCGAGC